TGTGTTTTTGTGTTTTTCCTCTCCTTCTGCCCTAATCACAGGTGTCCTTTATGTTCCTGATTGGTGGTCGTTGGGGTGTCCCACCTGTCCGACATTCGTTTGTCTGCTGATTGCTGAGGTGGACCAATCAGTGGACATTCCTCTGCATTGCACCACCTGCTTCTGGTTTTTCACTCACGTCACACATCCCATTGTTTTAAAAGCCAGTCAGTTGTGTTTGCTGACAGAGACTATTTTTGTATGTGAGTATGGATACTGTGGTGTCCTGTTTTTTGTGTACTCACTCATTTGCTGGTTACTCTGTATGGTAACTATGTTGTGTGTTTCTGGGAAAAGGGGGATTTAGCAAGTTGCCCTTGGGCATACATTACCTGTAGAAAGAACATTGTCTAAAAACATTAGTTAGACCTGAGCGGACCACCCACTGTATTTTTGTATGGTTAGCAGTAGCTTAGCGGTTCTTGAGGCAGGCAAGATCAGTTTAGTTTTTTTTTTACATTATTGTTTCATTCCTTGGGTCCTGCTCAGCCCTTTTCCCCAAACCTTTACCGTGTGTTCACAATAAACATTTTGTGTTTGACGATAGCTTGGTTGTCATTGTATTTTTGTTCTCACTGTTTCCGTGTCACGATTCTAATTTGCATGAGTTATGTTACGGGTCTCTTTTCCATCCACCCTAGACTTTTAAAGCCACGGGGTTCGTAACACCTCTCTCTCTCTCTCTCCTTCCCCTCTCACCTCTCTCTCTCCTTCCTCCCCCTCTCTCCCTCCTCCTCTCTCCTCTTTCTCTCCCTTCCCCTCTCTCCCTCCCCTTCTCATATCTCTCTCCCTTCCCCACTGTGACTTTGAGCCGACTTCTAGAATGGAGCCTTATTGAGATGCAGCTCAGAGAGTTATAGAGAGAAAGAATAAAAGTGCTGTTTCCTTCCTACAGGGAGTTCCACTGAGGCTTGTTGCCTGAAAACGACCTCCATGTTGAAAAGCAACACACAAACCATTCCACCTAGAGGTCACGCACACACACACACACACACTTGCACACACACCAGACACACACACACTGCTAAATGTTGATTCTGGCTTGCTTTGCAAGGCCTTTTGTAAAGCACTCCATGACAAATGATTTGGATGAACACAAAAATAGGCAAACACATTTGCATTAAATTTGTTTCATTCACAGAGAGACATATTACTCTTCACAGTCCCCAAGTACAGAACAGACTATGGGAGGCGCACAGTACTACATAGAGCCATGACTACATGGAACTCTATTCCATGTAGTAACTGATGCAAGCAGTAAAATTTGATTTAAAAACACAGATAAAAATACACCTTATGGAACAGCGGGGACTGTGAAGCAACACAAACATAGGCACAGACATATGCTTACACACACATGATAACATACGCACTATGCACACACGTACACATGGATTTTGTGTTGTAGATATGTGGTAGTGGAGTAGGGGCCTGAGGGCACACACTTAGTGTGTTGTGAAATCTGTTGTGAATGTATTGTAATGTTTTTAAATGTATTACTGCCTTAATTCTGCTGGACCCCAGGAAGTGTAGCAGCTGCCTTGGATCCATAATAAATACAAATATTACACTGACAATGGCCACAGAACAATGCATAATGGCTCTGTGTGTGATTAATGAAGGCATCAGATGTGTCTTTGTGCAGTCCTAAGAGAGACAGAGACTCTCCTGCTCTGGCCATCACCTAATCGACACTAAGTGGATGTCTGGCATTTGACATTCTCCGCAATGTCACAATGGTCACAGCATTGTGCGCGTGTGCGCGTGTGCATGTGCATTTGTGTTTGTGTGTGTGTGTGTGCATTTTTGTGTGCGTGCGTTTGTGTGTGTGTGTTTGCCGCTTTACATCACCATTTCCATAAGTGCTCTAGACGGTGCGTTAGTCAGTGCAAAAAAAACAACACAGTGGTAATATTCATTCTCCTTTACGAGGTAAAACAACTTTCCTTCTCTTCTCTTGTGGGAAGAGGATGACATTCTTATCACAACATTAGTTTTATCGTTCTGACGGCGGGGCTGAGAGACCCAAACGCCAGCCAGCTTCCAGTCATGCGCCATTTGACACAAAATAGCAGCTGGCGGTGTGGTGCCTCAGCCCAGAGTAGCCTAGCCATGTCTCCTGTGTTCTGCTGCAATGTGGCAGGCTGATTTATGACACTGTTCAGGAGAAGTGCAGGGTCGGAGGTTAGACTGTTACAGACGGATGCAGACTGTACATGTATTTTGGTGTTAACAGTTTTGTTGTTGTTTGTTTATTTGTTTGTCTCTAGGCGCCGTGAGCTATCGTCAGACTGATTTTGTATATTTTTTTAATTCAACAGTCTCCTCAGGTTGATGGTCAGCATGGTGGATGTGTTGGTGCCTACCCTCATCACCATGTTCCAGTCTGTGCCAGTGAAACAGTCCTGTAGCTTAGCATCCGCTTCATCGGATCCACTTCTGAATTGAGCGCATCACTGATACTTTTGGTTTTGAGTTTTTGCTCATAAGCAGGAATCAGGAGGATAGAGTTATGGTCACATTTGCCAAATGGAGGGCGAGGGAGAGCTTTCTATGTGTCTCTGTGTGTTTTTCGCCTCTAGTTGTACAGGTGACATGCTGGAAGAAATGAGGTGAGACGGATTTCAGTTTTCCCTGCATTAAAATGACTGGCCACTAGGAGCGCCGCCTCTGGATGAGCATTTTCTTGTTTGCTTATGGCCCTATACAGCTGGTTGAGTGCGGTCTTAGTGCCAGCATCGGTTTGTGGTGGTAAATAGACATCTACGTAAAAAATATGGATGAAAACTCTCTTGGTAAATAGTATGGTCTATAGCATATCATTAGGTATTCGAACTCAGGCGAACAGAGCCTCGAGACTTCCTTAATATTAGAGATCGCACACCAGCTGTTGTTAACAAAAAGACACTCACCACCCCCCTTGAGCTTAAACGACGCTGTAGTTCTGTCCTGCCGATGCATAGAAAAACCAGCTAGAATGTTGTCCTTGTTTGGCAAGTTTCCATCTTGAACATCGTCAAAGATATGTGAAAATCTCCATGTTTCACCATATTTCCTTCAGATGTGCATCATGCATTAGTTGCTTAGGCCCCGATTCCATCCTTATTGCTGAAGTTCAGTGTTATAGAACAATTTAAATGTAAAGGTAATTTCCGATTGAGCCGACATATTCAGCGTTTACCATGAATGCAGTCTCCGCTAACGCGGGAGCCATGCCTTTAAATTTGTATCTCGCTGTAGCGAAGCTCTTCAGTGCTACGGATTAAATGGAGCCCTTAGTCATGTCAAAAACACATTCATGTGGAGGACCTTTATTCTGTCCTAGGAGAAGTATTGGGGAGAACGTTAACCCTCTGGGCTGATTTCACAGCGTTATCTTGTTGCTCTTGGCTTCAGTTTACAGCTAAATGTAGTAAAATGAATCCAACAGCTGTTTGTTTGGAGCTTCTCTAGATTTCCTGTCAACCTCGATTCCCTTCCCTGCCACCCCCAACACACACACACACACAACACCCACGCAGCGCTTCCCCAAAGGAGAAGGCAAGAGTCCCGTAAAAGGAGAACAAAATCTATATTGAATGTGACTCACACATACAGTACAACCCAGATCAATTTAGACATTGATGCTAGTGCTTGTTTTCAATGCTTCTGTCTCTCGCTCCTTCCTCTAAGTGATGAAATGATCAATGATAAAACAGAATTGTTTGTAGTTATTGTATGCTTATGGAGGTGCATTTTGGGTAGACCCTTTCGCAGATAGAAGCCCATTCTTCCTCACCGAATGCATGTCCAATGTCTCTCTCCCAAACATGTCTCAACGCATCATAGGATGAGGCACTTCTGTTCAATAAAATATAATATATGTCGGAGATTAAACCTCTCCGAACAGTAGGATTCGTAAATAGTTTTTCAACTTCAGTCATTTGAAAACGTAGTTTATCCACTTTCTTCTGGCCCTCTATGAAGTGTCTAAGATACTTTAAAAAATATTTGTTGGGTACGTCGAACTTTTTATCTGTTGGAACGATTTAAGAGTGTCCTGAGTAAATAAAGGCGTAAGGTCAGCAATACTCTTCGTCTTCCAGTCCAGAAGTCCAATACTCCTTATTTGGAGGGGGGAAATCTGGATCAAGGGCAATCAGTGACCAGAGTGATATATGGTCTGGACTCTGCAAGTACCTCCTTGCATCTTTCCAAGCTATGAGTGTATTATGTACTGTAAAATTGTCAGATAAGGGCTGGATCTTTCCAAAGCGATTAATAAATGGTAGGGAAGCTAATGCTCTTGGATGAAACGCTATTGATTCCATCCCAACCCAAACTGAGTGGCGCCTTCCTAATTTGGTTCTAGGTTTCTTATTGTTCCAGATATATTTAGATACACAACCGGTCAAAAGTTTTAGAACACCTACTCATTCAAGGTTTTTCCTTTAATGTTACTATTTTCTACATTGTAGAATAATAGTGAAGACATCAAAACTATGAAATAACACATATGGAATCATTTTGTAACCAAAAAAAGTGTTAAACAAATCAAAATATATTTTATATTTGAGGTTCTTCAAATAGCCACCCTTTGCCTTGATGACAGCTTTGCACACTTTTGGCATTCTCTCAACCAGCTTCACCTGGAATGCTTTTCCAACAGTCTTGAAGGAGTTCCCACATATGCTGAGCACTGGTTGGCTGCTTTTCCTTCACTCTGCGATCCGACTCATCCCAGACCATCTGAATTTGGTTGAGGTCGGGGGATTGTGGAGGCCAGGTCATCTGATGCAGCACTCCATCCCTCTCCTTCCTGGTCAAATAGCCCTTACGCAGCCTGGAGGTGTGTTGGGTGATTGTGCTGTTGAAAACAAGTAACAAGTTGGTAACAAGTTGTCACGGAGCGGCCTATTAGTACATCATGTAGCAGTGGCTATCGTAATAGAATAATTCAAAATATAGTTAGATCATTCACTATGCCTCCAAAGAAACCAGCTCAAGCTGCCGCCGGTAGTAAAAAAAAAACACAAGAAAAGAAGAAGGAAAAGATAATTGAGGACAAGACATTTGGTTTGAAGAACAAAAAGGGAGGAAAACAACAGAAATGTATCAAGAATGTCTCTCAGCAAGTCAAGCAAGTTCCTGGTAGTAAGGTTGGTGCAGAAGTGGTCAAGAACAAAAAGGGTGACAAGAAGAAAGAGTTAGATGAGCTGAACGAGCTTTTCAAGCCAGTGGTGGCTGCTCAGAAAGTCGCTAAAGGGGTGGACCCAAAGTCAGTTCTCTGTGCCTTCTTCAAGCAAGGCCAATGCACCAAGGGAGACAAGTGCAAGTTCTCCCACGATTTGACACTCGAGAGGAAGTGTGAGAAACGGAGCCTCTATGTTGACAAGAGAGATGACGAGCTTGAGAAAGATACCATGGATAATTGGGATGAGAAGAAGCTGGAGGAGATAGTGAACCAGAAGCACGGAGAAGCTGGAGGAGGTAGTGAACCAGAAGCACAGAGAAGCTGGAGGAGGTAGTGAACCAGAAGCATGGAGAAGCTGGAGGAGGTAGTGAACCAGAAGCACAGAGAAGCTGGAGGAGGTAGTGAACCAGAAGCACGGAGAAGCTGGAGGAGGTAGTGAACCAGAAGCACGGAGAAGCTGGAGGAGGTAGTGAACCAGAAGCACGGAAAAGCTGGAGGAAGTAGTGAACCAGAAGCACGGAGAAGCTGGAGGAGGTAGTGAACCAGAAGCACGGAGAAGCTGGAGGAGGTAGTGAACCAGAAGCACGGAGAAGCTGGAGGAGGTAGTGAAACCAGAAGCACGGAGAAGCTGGAGGAGGTAGTAACCATAAGCACGGAGAAGCTGGAGGAGGTAGTGAACCAGAAGCACGGAGAAGCTGGAGGAGGTAGTGAACCAGAAGCCGGAGAAGCTGGAGGAGGTAGGAACCAGAAGCACGGAGAAGCTGGAGGAGGTTAGTGAACCAGAAGCACGGAGAAGCTGGAGGAGGTAGTGAACCATAAGCAAGGAGAAGCTGGTGGAGGAAGTGAACCAAAGCCACGGAGAAAGCTGGAGGAGGTAGTGAACCAGAAGCACGGAGAAGCTGGAGGAGGTAGTGAACCAGAAGCAAGGAGAAGCTGGTGGAGGTAGTGAACCAGAAGCACGGAGAAGCTGGAGGAGGTAGTGAACCAGAAGCACGGAGAAGCTGGAGGAGGTAGTGAACCAGAAGCACGTAGAAGCTGAAAAGAAGAAAGCTCAAAGCTCAAAAACTCAAATTGTTTGCAAGCATTTCCTTGATGCCATTGAAAACAACAAATATGGTTGGTTTTGGGTATGTCAAGGTGGAGCTGACACTTGTATGTACCGCCATGCATTGCCTGCTGGGTTTGTGCTCAAGATAGACAAGAAAAAGGACGAAAAGGAAGATGAAAGCTCAATGGAAGAGTTGATAGAGAATGAGCGATCTGCCCTCGGACCAAATGTCACTCGAATAACTCTGGAGACCTTGGCCTGGAAAAAGAGGAAAAGGCAAGAGAAAGTGGCCAAGGCAGAGCAAGACATGGAGAAAAAGAAGGCTGATTTCAATGCTGGCAGGTCCTTTGGGGTTAGCGGCCGTCAAGTATTTGAGTTCTGCCCTGATCTGGCTGATGATGACAATGAGGAAGCTGATGACATAAAATATGTTGAGGACGATGATGACGTTGAAGAGGTTGAAGATGTTCAGGAGTTCCAGGACATCGATCTAGCCAGGTTTGTTCTAAAGGAAGTTGACAACACCGGAATAACTGTTGCTGCAGTTGACAGATTCACAGCCAAATCGAAGCCAACAAAGGAAATGAATGATGACCAGCTGAACGGGGCTTGCGGAGGTGTGGAGGAGAACGGGCACGACGGGGAAGAGGAGACTCTCGATGACAAGGAAGCAGAGGCCGTGCCTGTGGAAGAGAACCTTTTCACCGGCGAGGACCTGGATGATCTGGATGAAGAACTCAACACACTGGTTCCAGTGTGGGGCAACGAACAGCCCTTGCTGTCTCTTCCAGGCGGTTCCCCTCTCCACGGGTCTCTGCCCTAACCCTGTTTCAGGGGCTGAGTCACTGCTTGCTGTGCTCTTGCATGACGTCCTGGAGGGTGCGTCACTTTGAGTGGGTGGAGTTACTGCTGATCTTCCTTCCTGGGTTGGCGCCCCCCCTTGGTTTGTGCTGTGGTGGAGACCTCTGTGGGCTATACTCGGCCTGCTCAGGATTGTAAGTTGTGGTTGAGATATCCCTCTAGTGGTGCGGGGGCTGTGCTTTGGCAGAGTGGGTGGGGTTATATCCTTCCTGTTTGGCCCTGTCCGGGGGTTTCTTCGGATGGGGCCACAGTGTCTCCGGACCGCTCCTGTCTCAGCCTCCAGTATTTATGCTGCAGTAGTTTATGTGTCGGGGGGCTGGGGTTAGTTGGTTATACCTGGAGTACTTCTCCTGTCTTATCCAGTGTCCTGTGTGAATTTAAGTATGCTCTCTCTAATTCTCTCGTTCTCTCTTTCTCTCTGAGAACCTGAGCCCTAGGACCATACGTCAGGACTACCGGGCATGATGACACCTTGCTGTCCCCAGTCCGCCTGGCCTTGCTGCTATTCCAGTTTCAACTGTTCTGCCTGCGGTTACGAAACCCCTACCTGTCCCAGACCTGCTGTTTTCAACTCTTAATGATCGGCTATGAAAAGCCAACTGAGAGACCTGAGCCCTAGGACCATACGTCGGGACTACCGGCCGTGGTGACTCCTTGCTGTCCCCAGTCCGCCTGGCCTTGCTGCTATTCCAGTTTCAACTGTTCTGCCTGCGGTTATGGAACCCCTACCTGTCCCAGACCTGCTGTTTTCAACTCTTAATGATCGGCTATGAAAAGCCAACTGAGATTTATTCCTGATTATTATTTGACCATGCTTGTCACTTATGAACATTTTTGAACATCTTGGCATGGTTCTGTTATAATCTTCACCCGGCACAGCCAGAAGAGGACTGGCCACCCCTCATAGCCTGGTTCCTCTCTAGGTTTCTTCCTAGGTTTTCGCCTTTCTAGGGAGTTTTTCCTAGCCACCATGCTTCTACACCTGCATTACTAGCTGTTTGGGGTTTTAGGCTGGGTTTCTGTACAGCACTTCGAGATATTAGCTGATGTAAGAAGGGCTATATAAAATAAAATTGATTGATTGATTGATTGACTGGACCTGGATGACTGACAATGATGACTTCTAATAGAACAGTGCCTCATGGACTATGAAGAAGAGATGACTAAAACAGATTCACAATAAAACATCCTGATGCTCACATCTTGTTGCTGCTGCTGTTTCCTTTCCCTCTCAGTGGTCCTGATTGCTAAGAGAGTGAAAATGATTTTAGAGGGGGTACATCTTGAACTGTATGGTCTTGAATGTGGTTCATGTGAAATCACCCGTTCTCTCTGGCTGTCCTGAATCCTGTATATTGATTTTGGGTTCTATTGTATAAACATCCTCTTGACTTGTATTATTATACCATGACAGATTGTGCAACTCCTTTCGAGCATCAATTTGTAAGTCGCTCTGGATGAGAGCGTCTGCTAAATGACTTAAATGTAAATGCTAAATAAATCACAGACAGTGTCACCAGCAAAGCACCACCACACCATAACACCTCCTCCTCCATGCTTTACGGTGGGAAATACACATGCAGAGATCATCTATTCACCCACACCGCATCTCACAAAGACACGGTGGTTTGAACCAAAAATCTCAAATTTGGACTCTAGACCAAAGGACAAATTTCCACTGGTCTAATGTCCATTGCTCGTGTTTCTTGGCCCAAGCAAGTCTCTTCTTCTTATTGGTGTCCTTTAGTAGTGGTTTCTTTGCAGCAATTCGACCATGAAGGCTTGATTCACACAGTCTCCTCTGAACAGTTGATGTTGAGATGTGTCTGTTACTTGAACTCTGTGAAGCATTTATTTGGGTTGCAATTTCTGAGGCTGGTAACTCTAATGAACTTATCCTCTGCAGCAGAGGTAACTCTGGGTCTTCCATTCCTGTGGCGGTCTTCATGAGAGCCAGTTTCATCATAGCGCTTGATGGTTTTTGTGACTGCACTTGAAGAAACGTTCAAAGTTCTTGAAATGTTCCGTATTGACTGACCTTCATGTCTTAAAGTAATGATGGACTGTCGTTTCTCTTTGCTTATTTGAGATGTTCTTGCCATAATATGGACTTGGTCTTTTATCAAATAGGGCTATCTTCTGTATACCCCCCCTACCTTGTCACAACACAACTGATTGGCTCAAACGCATTAAGAAGGAAATAAAATATATGTTGATTTGTTTAACACTTTTTTGGTTACTACATGATTCCATATGTGTTATTTCATAGTTTTGATGTCTTCACTATTATTCTACAATGTAGAAAATAGTAAAAATAAAGAAAAAACCTTGAATGAGTAGGTGTTCTAAAACTTTTGACCGGTAGTGTATATTGGCATTCATTTTCTGAAAAAAGGACTGAGATAGATGGCAGGGGATATTTTGGAATAGATCATTTAGCCGAGGAAGGATATTCATCCTGACCACATTAATCCTGCCAAAAAGAGAGTGTGGTAAGGTAGACCAGTTAACCAGGTCCTGTTTCATCTTTGTGAGCAAAGGCATATCATTTCAAGTGAACAGGTCTGTAAGATTTGGAGTAACATATATGCCCAAGTATTTTAAGCCTGTTTCAGTCAATTGGAATGGAGATATCGTTTCTAAGTTGATTGTAGAGGGGATATTCAAAGGTAAAGCCATGGATTTTGTTGATAACGGGATATGAGAAGGGAGAGTCGGCCAATGATCGATTCAGACTAGGTGGTAAATTGTATGACAAGCGGCAGTTTATTCAGAGTAAAAATGTCTGGTACAAAACGTGCACGGTCTCGTTCTTTCAGCTCATAGGGAACCTCCAGAAAAAAGCGCCAAAAAAACAGTACACTGGTGTTTTATACTATTTGTAAAGTGGGTTGAGTCTAGCAGATCTGATCTTCTGGTTGGTCCATGCTGCTCGGGCGTCGTCCTCTGTGATTGGGTCTAGGAGATCTACACACTGTAGCTCAGGGCCTTTGTTCCGAATGTTTCAGCAAAGTAGGAGATTTGGTGTGTGCGTGGTCAACACTTGTCTTGGAAAAAGGAATTAGTTATAGCAATGTAATAGCAATAAGCTATTTATAAAAATAGCATTTCTTACAATTTATCCACGTTAATTTTTTACCCTGACAGGTTACCATATTCAGATATGTCCATTACTGCAGTGACAGAGGTCTCTGGTTTAGACATGTATAAAAGCACAACATCAGAAAATAATGAAATGCTATGCTCTTAGTCACCCATAGAGATGCCCCTGATGATATTTCTAGACCTTATTGCCTTAGTGGTTCTATGACTAACGAGAACAGAGCAAGAGACAAAGAACAGCCTTGACGACAGACCCTACTGATAGGAAATCTTTCTGATAATTTACCAGTTGTGTTAACTGTCGCTGATGGGACAGAATAAAGTAATTTTACTAAAGTAATAAAGTGGTCACCCAGATGAACTTTTTCTAATACAGCAAACAAGAATTTCCACTCAACTCTATCGAATACCTTTTCCGCATCGAGAGAGACAATGAGTGCAGGTGTAACAGTTGTTAAAGTACTTTGTGAATTTCACCATGTTCATATATTAATATAGCATTTTGATTTGTTATTATGCATGTCTGCATCCTGGGAATAGGAGAGTGTGTACTTGCGTTTTGCCCTGCGTGCTCAAATAATGTTGATGCACTATGAGAGGTAGGCACGCTTTTTCTGTCGTCTTTAGAAAAGTTAGATTCCTTCAAGCACAAAGTCATACACACAGTGTTTTGTTCATGAATAATGTTGTATATTTAGAGTTTACTCATGAGTGGATGGTATTGTTAAGATGCAATTGTAATTGTACTTTTTAGGATGATATTAACATTCTGAATTCAACATGTGGTTACTAGCTAGCTAAGGTATTGTATGTGTGAACGATGGCTAGCTCCTTGACTGATTCCAGTCCTTTGTATTGTGCGTCTATGTTGTAGAAAGAGGCGACAATGGGCAGAACATATTTGTGCTCTACAAATGTTTTGTGTTTTCTTTTGGATGTAGAGAGAATTCTGATTCATTAAAACAGCCTGATCTCCGAAGTCCACGTCTATAGTCCCAATCAATCACACACAACGCAGAGATACAGCCGTGCAGTACAGTGCCGGTTACACAGGGTCTTTAATTCTGCCAAGGTGGTTTATGATATTCAAAGCACGTCTCACATTGTCCGTTCCAAATCTGGATTTGACAAAGCCAGTCCGTTCATGTTTAATGAATGTTCACCCATTTTGAATATGATATGGTTTTTGTGCATCTCTGAGTGATGTTCTATCAATTCCCTGGGTAATGTAATGTTTTCATGTGTATCTGAGTTATTTGCGTTCAAGCAGGCAGAAATCCGGCGGGTTTGACATAACGCCGTGATAAAATCGCTCTCCCTACAGTCACTAATAAGAATACAACTTTTAGATCGCGAAAACGTCTATCATACACGTCAGATTTCAATACTGGCAGATGTCATCTCTCGAATTATCCATTTATCATATTTTTTTGCGATATTCCTACCTCGAGAAATGTGTAATTTAACAGGTCTTGCACATTTTTCCTATTTGTCTGCCTCTTTAGTCCAGGGTGCATTGCATGGTGCCATTGCCAGATATATTATAGAAAGGAGATAGGAATCCAATTAATTAAGGAACGTAAAACGCCCCACCCAGCAGAATATCGACCAATCGTGTTCACGTTGTCATGCTGCATCACGTGTTTGCTAAACTATTCGTCACGCAATTCCTTCTCAACGTCGGTGAATATGTCGAGAAACGTGCCTATTTTCCTCGAAAGT